AAAGAAAGAAAGAAAGAAAGAAAGAAAGAAAGAAAGAAAGAAAGAAAGAAAGAAAGAAAGAAAGAAAGAAAGAAAGAAAGAAAGAAAGAAATAGATAGATAATATGCACTAGGGTAGTATCCAGGACAAGAATATTGATCACACACTTTGCTTTTCTTTGTTTGCAGGGGCAACTGGATAGGAGAAGCACCTTACAAAATGGGGAAACCTTGTTCAGCCTGCCCACCCAGTTATGGAGGCACCTGCAGTAACAACATGTGTTATTTGGGATTCAAATCCAACAGAATTGGTTGGTTCTGAACATAGCAGGTGTACTTGTGTTGAGATTATGGAAGGGATACTCACTGGTGGAGATGATAGATGATTGGGCCAAATGCAAAACAGATGTCTAATTTTCACTTATAAATTATTTACTTATAAATATGCCTTCATTCTTATAAATTCTACATTTCTTTCTCTAGCCATCCACCCTTCCCCAATCTTCTATGCCATAATATAGCTCCAAATATATTTTGACACCCATACACATGCTCAAGAGCCAGCATTTCTCATAATTTTAAGTAGAGAATAAATTCTTAGATTTTGTTCATTCTACATTCTTAATCTGATTTCTTTATCTGTTGTAGGATTATGCCATTGTAAATAACAGAGGGAAGCCAATTTGACAGGCATCAAGTAGCAAATTTTAAACTAACAAGTAAATGTAGGTGTTCCCTAGAGGCATTTAAAGAATCAACAGGAAAAGAATTTCTGATTTACAACTGAGACCAGTTTAGTGCCTATGCTGTTGGACTGAGGAGATAAAGATTGAAGTCCACGCTCAGTCATGGAACACATTATTTTCATTGTAACCTTTCTTACAGGGATATTCCTATTATGTTAAAATGAGTGGAGTTCTCCTTCTTTATCACTTTGAGCTCCCAGAGGAAAGCTTTGGGATATAAAGGTAACAATAAATAACACCACATTTTAGCCAATACATGTAATATTGATGCAAGGTTTGAATATTGTTAAAGTTAATGTAATCATGTACTACTTCTTCCCCATCAATGTATTTTTACTTTTGTCTGAATCATGCAGTCAAGTTATAATATTTGATTAACTTTCATTCTTATTATAGTCATTTTTTCTTCTGCTTTTAATAACAATTGAACACACTAATTATTTTTATTCCTCCATTATTCACAATTACTCTAATTAGTTTGATTTTTTTAATTTTTTTAAAAAATGTATTTCAAGTGCCATTTCATTCTCTTGCAATAATGTTTCACTTATATGTGATGACAAAAGTCCACCTTTGATTTGCACATAGCAAATGTTTTGCCAAAGTGTGTCTCCTAGATTAAATAAGAACATCAAACTGATTATTTTATATATATGCTGGACATATATAAAGAACATAGTTCTCAGTAAAATCATTAATATTTTGGGTGAGTTGTTTAATGGATTACATTAAAACAGTGCATTCACCACACATTGTGTTTATCTCATTCATGTAACACTTATTTTGTCTTATTTGATTTGATTAAGCACTATTGTGTACCAATAAGTTATCATTTCACAGATATTTCCTTACCTAATCAGAGAAACAGAATGACCAAGGTTGGGCAAAAAAGCATGAGATGAGGAGCAACTTTCAACTTCCTGCCAGCTTCCCATTGGTCTTCCTTATGGGGATCTGGCAGGGAACATCAGAAACCTTTCCTTCCTTCCTTCCTTCCTTCCTTCCTTCCTTCCTTCCTTCCTTC